TACTTTTGATTCCTAATACAAGGTAATGCAACGCAAATAATGTTGTATGCTATAATTTAGGAACTAACAATGAAAAGGAGTCTACAGATATAGATACAACTTTTCTCAAGTATTTTCAGGAAGTAGACTGTGTGTGTGTGTGCGCGTGCGAGTACACACACACACACACACACACACACACACACACACACACACACACACCCACACACACACACACATGCCCTCAGTCACATGTATAGGAACCTGTGAAGGCCAGAGTTCAGCCTTGGATGATGTTCCTTGAAAGCTATTGTCCTTGCTTTTATATTAACACAGGTCTCCCTGAGACCCGAGGCTCACCAATTAGGCTAGATAAGCTGCCATGAGTCCTGGCAATCCTCTTGTCTCTACCTCCCCAGTGCTAGGGTCACAGGCACTCACAACCATGCCAGCACTTGACGTGGGTCCCAGGGATTGAACTCAGATCCTCATGCTTTCGAGGCAAGCTCTTTACCAGCTGAGCCATCTCCCCAGCACCTCCCATATTTCTGCTCTGTGGTTCTTTGAATTCACGGCTATGGCAGCTGTAGAGAGAGGGGGCCAACTCCAACTGCCTTCACCGACTTACGTTTTGAAAATGGACTCACTGAAGGTGCTTTGGATGTCTTAGTCTATTAACAGTGCCGTTCCCTAGGCCTTCCAAAGAGAACTCTTGAGAAGTCCCTTGTGAGTCAGGCATTTTGGTGGGGTGATTAGAAGTGCATCTCCCCAAAGCCCGACACCCCTCAGTTGGCAATACCAAATGGAGCTGGCAGACACGGCTATTAGGGAGTCAGCCTTCGGGAAGGGGGGTTGAGTGATGATGAAACTGAGTCATGGCAACATAGGAAGCGAGTGAAAGAGAAACCATAATTAGCTTCCCTGTGCACTCTGAGTCTCAGGAAGACTGCGGGAAACGTAGGAGGGAACCATTTCAGGGATGAGATGAAAAACTGTTAGTAATCTGATGGGGCGGGGTGTGAAGGGATTGGGGGAACCCTGGCTGTGCTATTTACCTGAGAAGCCTCAGGTTAGTTGGAAGGGACTCCAGCAGCCACTGTTTGTCCCGGTGCAGTGCTAGTGAGTAGCCAGACACGCTGAATGTTTATGTGGTGAAATGCGGCCCCTTGTGGTCTGATCAGGAAGGAAAAAACAAATCTAGTTCTGCCTAAGTGACACTAACATACTGTATGTACATGGAAGAGGTCAAGTGGACGGTTCGGGCCCCCAGCAAACTTGGCACATTGGTGACCATGATGAGGGCCATCAGAGTCTCAGGGAGCACTTGTTACTGTCATGAATTGCAGGGAAGGCCTGGAGTCTGGGTTTCTGAAGCCTCTACGATGGAGGGAGGTGTCCACCCCAAGGGTATACAGGAGGTCCCTGACCCGTGGGACACCCCAGCACTGCTCCACTTGGGGCGCATCACTCTGGGGACCACGTGCCCCAGGATGGCGTTCCCCTTAGGCTCCTGTCCTCCCAACCCAGGCAAGGTTGTGGGGTGGTATAATTCCTTGACAATGCTGAAACCCTGGGACCACTTCCTCCTGCAAACCTGAGACCTGAGATCATCCTTCTCCTGAGAAGGGCATCCTTGTGGGGGAGCAGAGTCCATCCCCTAACACGGGGACAATGCTATAGCTGGCTCTCCTGGCACTGGGTGAAGTACGACGCTCTCTGGTCTATCTTGGTCTATTTGCCTCCAGAGTCCCCCTTGAGATTTGTACATCTGCAGAGCGCTTATGAGGCCTGTCTGCTGGGCTTCTCACTCACACTTGGCAGACAGAGAGAGCACCCATGGTGATCACAGTCCTATTTTAAATATTCATATTTTCACCTCCAATTCTAAGAATTCACTGTTTTCAATTAGAAAAAAAAACAATTTTTAATACAACATATTTTTAGCTTGTGTGGGAGATGGGATAGACACAACAGTAGAACGATCACAGGTGGGTAATTGCACATGTAAATGAGTTGAGTTGGGTAATTTCCCCCTGAATTCCTACTCACAGTTAACATTTTATGCTAAGCCCTACGCTATCACTTCATTTGGGGGTGTTTCCTTTTATTCTTGTATGTTAACCCTAAAACATGAAGGGGAACTTAGACAACTGGTTTTCTAGGCTTAGCTTTTACAGGTGGCGCCACTCCTCCTTGTAACTGATGAACAAAAAAACCGGATGAAAACTGTCCATTTAAAAAGTCATGCGTTGCTTCCATTCAGAGTCCAGGGTCTGACACTTCCAGCTCTCAGAAGGGGTTGGAGGCATCTTAAGTCTCCAAGGAGCAGTTCCCCCAGGTCTAGATCACATCATCAAGGCAGTGAAGCCCGTGATTAACCGAGGAATGATAACCAGTACTGCTGGGCAGTCTGCAGTCACCAAGAGGATCTTCCAGGGCCTCAAAGGGAACAAGTGAGACACAGCACACCTATGAACACAAGCTCAGCCAGCCAGATGTCAGCAAAGCAGCACAGGGCTACACCAACAGGGTGGGCGGGGCTGACAAGGTGCCCAATGGGTAAAAGCACTTGCCTCCAAGCCCCACGACCTAAGTAGGATCTTCAGATCCTACACTGATCTCTCTCTCTCTCTCTCTCTCTCTCTCTCTCTCTCTCTCTCTCTCTCACACCCACACACATAATTTTACAGTTGGCCCGGCAGTGCACACCTGTGAACCCAGAGCAGAGGCAGAGACAGAGGGTTCCCTGGGGCTCACTGCCAGCAAACCTTGCCAAATTATCAAGCTCCAGGTTAAGATTCTGTCTCAAAAAAAAAATAAGGTAGACAAAGATGGAAGACACCTGACACCAACCCCCAAGCCTCCACACGGGAACACATACACGTACACACACACACACACACACACACACACACACACACACACACAGAGGAAAAGGGCACCACACTATGAAGACTGAGGACCCACATGTGGTTAGCTGAAGTGTGAATTCTTCCTCCACCCCCAGTTCAGCAGTGATGGCAATTACGTCCTCTGCCTGTTTGCACAGATGCTGACCAGTTTTCTTATTCAGGGAGAATAAAAATGATGTATATGACAGCGACTGCGTAAGACTCCAGGTCGTTTGTTTTCAAGCCCTTTGCTTTTATCTCTGGAAGAAATGGAAGGATGCAGCTATAATCCTATGGCTGTAGGACTTCCATTTTATACTTAACAAATGAGATGTTAAGAACGGTCTTTCGTGTGTTGAAGTGTTTTCCTCTCACTGCTAAGTTTAACAGGATGGAGCGAGGTTGAAATAGGCCACCTTGCTAGGGAGCAGCTCGGAGGAGGAGGGAGCTGTCTTGTTGTTTTTTCAGTGCTTGCCGATGTCTCTAGTGAAATTCTCACAGGCCCTCTCTCCCAACTCCAGGCTGCTGGTGCTTTACCCAGCAGCTCAGCTATTTCTGAACTTCTCAGATGCCAGCTCCTGCACACCACAGGCATGTCTGTGGCCCATCTTCTGTTTGATGAATATATTCAACTGTCAAATAAAAAACTAAACGTGGGCTGGAGAGATGGCTCAGAGGTTAAGAGCGCCGACTGCTCTTCCAGAGGTCCTGAGTTCAGTTCCCAGCAACCACATGGTGGCTCACAACCATCCGTTATGAGATCTGGTGCCCTCTTCTGGTGTGCACATATACATGGAAGCAGAATGTTGTATACATAATAAAATCTTAAAAAAAAAAAAAACTAAACGTGCAGTTCAGACATTGTGTCACAGCTGGAACTGAAATGCCCCAAAGCCTTCCAGTCACTAGGGCACACCACCAGTTACCCTGCTGTAATGCTAGTGTTTTCAGGGTGCTTCCGAACAACTGACCGGGAACTGAGTGAGTTGGTCCCACAAGGTGCTGTGACGAGTGTCATCTGTACCAAGGAAGGGCTCTGGGCCGAGCAGAGCACAGTGCATGCTCAGTGAATATGTGGATTTCAGGGTCCCACAATTTTTCTTATCTCACTTAAATATCAATTTGGTTTGTAAACAAACAAATGAACCTTTAAGCACTTTTAAAATCTTTATTCTCTTCCTTATTATAAAAATAATACATGTTCCTTATAGAAGTTTTACATTATAAAAAGTCCAAATCTAATACATTTCACTACACTCTTACCCGAGATGAGTGATTTTCTTACTACTCATTCATAAATATACAAAGTATTAAAAATGACAAAGTTTAAAAAAACAGGAAAATGTACACATACAATGAATTTAACAGAAAAAGAAGACAGAAAAATCACCCCGGGTCTTTTATGAAAATAGGAA